GTTATCCATTTAAAAGCAACATAGGTTAGAAATGTTTTCGACGCCATGTTGTCAAGATCGTCACTAAAAGAGAAAATTGTGTCGACAAACATATTCTCATTCACTTCCTCTTTCTCCCTCTCTTATTGTCTCTTTAAATATAGTTATCTTTCCCTTTATTCCTTTCTCATTTCATATATACTATGAGATGTTATTCTCTTATCTGTAATCCTGTTCCCCTATCTGCGCCTCCAGTTCTTCGTCTGGTCACGTGTCATAAGCATGTCTTAGGTCAGTCTAGGTCATACTGCGACTGAAATAGTGTTTCAGTGTACAGCTTTCCCTGTACGTCGTTGTAGCTCACTATAAGCTAGATGTACACTCTTGTACATCTTCATCAGACCGAACACTATATAAATAATCTTCTGCATCGTCTTGTATAAGATTTTTTTCACTGTTTACGGTTTATTGTTGATGACGTCAGTAAGGAAAACGATGACGTAATCACTGCTGCGGTGGCGGGTATGAGGTCGAAGGTTACAGGGGCACGAACACGTGTAGACAAGGTTGTCCATATGTTTATATTTCCTTTAATTTTAGAAAGTAGGTTTATTTGATATTGTTATAGATTTATTTTCTGTATAGATATAACACTCCCTTTTGTCATTAGCTGAGCCGGTCTCTTTGTTATACTTTCGTCTTATATACCCTTTGATATACTCGGATTTGGAAAGGCCAGATACGATCTCTCTTTTCTTTTTTCTATTCCTGGTTTCATTTAATTCTTTAGGGTTGTTCACCTGTTTGTTTATTTGTCTCACGTTTTCTCTGTATTCGTTATCTGTGTCTCTACCTGTTGGATCTGGATTTCCGTTTTGTTTTCGTATTTCTAAGAGGTAGTTCTTCGTGGCGAATGGTCTGTGTGCCAGACTCGTTGTGCAGAACCTGAGTATTTGCTTTTTTTATGAAAATTCAAGTTTGATAAGACATACTTCCTTCATAACTTCTCTTTCGTTGTGATTAATATTAAAAATTTAATTTATTTCTTTATATGCATTTAACACAGTCCTAAATCTTCTCTTAGTATAAATTTCTTATAGACTATCGAGTTCTCTTATTGACTAAGTTAATTTCTTAAAGAAAAAGTATTACAAACTATAAACTGTATACATAAATTAAGCTATACTTTATGAACTTCAACAATGTATATACCCATGACGACTGTTCTGTCTTTAGAATTATCCTATATTATGTTAAATTCTTTGATAAAAAGTTGATGTTTTGCATTCAATTGTCCAGGAAAAAGCTGTAATTTGTAAGTGTATGGTCCTGTAAACTTCTTGAGATATTTACTGTTGATGTTTATAAATGTCTTTAAGTTCCCATCTCGAACATTTATTATGAAATGAAACCTTTGTAACATATATTTATTCTCCTTACACCCTTTTTTTATAATCCTACATATTTTTAAACTCTTTCTCTTGCTGTGGAAAAAATCCTGAATTTTCTGAAGTATCTGACATGCAGGTTAATTCTTCTGAAATATTCTTAAAACTAGCTTGATATATGTTTATTGTCCCGAAAAATCCCACTTTTCTGACCATTGACCCTGTAAAGTCCCTGACCTCTGGCTTGTCACCGCCGATTGTCCCTTAAAGGTCTCTCCCTGTGCCATACGCTGTACATAGGCATCTACATGTTCATTAAATAATAATAAATTAACTTATAATGCCAAACGCGTTTCGGTTTCCTTCTGCAGAAAATATTTTAGATAAATCCCAGCTAACAAAAAGAAAGAAAGAAAGAAAAAAACATAATGATTTAAAGAGAATATTGTGAAAAAAGAAAACATATTTTCAGTTGGTCTTTTTATGGAAAAGAAACACTGTCAAAGTATCAGCCAGTTTATTCACCTTTGCTGAAATGGATACAAAAATATGTATTTTCCTCAACCTTTAGTCTTTTTCAAGACTTTTTTTCTCGTTTTTTTTATAGGATCTGAGGGTTTAACACATAGAATATACACCTTCGTATGTACAACTCTCCATATATACTGTAACACATGTAGAAAAGGTACGAATGAGGATAAATCATTCCACAGTGTGAATGACATTTCGATATCACATTTTCATCAGAATTGCGCAATTCCGATAAAGAGGTAATATCTTGTAATGTATTATTCATGCCTTTTCTACTTATTCATATATTATAGAATTAAGCATATCAAATCGTTATGAACATTACTTCATCCAAAACAGATTTTTTTTTTAGTGGGACAGTGACTGGAACCAGTGAAACTAATTCATTGCAATTGGATTAGATACAAAATTGAATGATCACTTGACTGGGTGTGGTTTAATGGTGAGAATATAAGAAAATTTTCATAATGTGTTGAAGGTTCTTGTTGAAACCTTAGGAATTCTTGGGGAAAAAATATCCTGTTTTGTTTACAATTTTGATATTGTTAATATTTAGTAACAGTTTACATATATTCTAGATTCAGTGGCACTGGAATCTTCTTGATCCCCCCCCCCCCCTTTCACACCTGTACCGTGTGGCCAGCCTTCTGTTACTTAAAGCGAGTGTGTGGTTGCAAGTTATTTATAGGTGCGTGTACGTATGAGTGGGTGTATATGCTTGTATTTACATATATGCAAGTGAATAAATGGTCAAGAATGAAACAAGGAAATTCAGACAGTTAGTATGTACATCTATATATGTATATAGTTACATATACACTGTGTACATATATTCACACACACACCCCGTATGTATGTATATATATATATATATATATATATATATATATATATATATATATATATATATATATATATATATATATATATATATATATATATGTATGTATATATATACACACACGCAAATGTATATGTGTGTATATATATATATATATATATATATATATATATATATATATATATATATATATATATATATATATATATATACATATATACGTATGTATGTATATATATATATATATATATATATATATATATATATATATATATATATATATATATATATATATATATATATGTATGTATATATATACACACACGCAAATGTATATGTGTGTATATATATATATATATATATATATATATATATATATATATATATATATATATATATATATATATACATACATACATACATACATATATACATATACACACACACACACACACACATACACACGCATATATGTGTGTGTATATATATATATATATATATATATATATATATATATATATATATATATATATATATATGTATATGTATGTGTGTGTGTGTGTGTGTGTGTGTATTCATATGTATACATCTATATACACACATTTGATACATAAAATTGGTACGTGCTATTGACGGCGTTAGACTGACATCACAACATTTAACAAAGAATAAAAACAATTTTCAATTTTTCGCTTTTTTGGTCAACTTCTATACATCTGAAATAATTTACATCAGGGCGCCTCTCTGTCCCTCGCCGGTCCTGCTCAAGCACACCGAGGCTCCCGTCGACCGCGGCGAACAGCGGCCGACGTCAACCTCGAACCCCAAGTAGAGAGCATCTTGCGTGCGAGTGGCACTGTCCCCGGCCCTGAATGCGCCCGAGACGAGCGGCGTTCGTGCGCTTGAGCTGACCCTTCGGCAGGACGACGACCCTAGCCCTTGATCCCCATCATACCGAGGAACTGCTTGAAAGGACTCTGTCGGTTCCTGAAGGGTCTGGGTCGATGAGGAGGAGGGCCGTAGCTGCCCGAGGGCGGCAGGGGCTTGAAGTCTCCTTCGCAGTACTCGAAAGGCGCGTGGAAGTCCACGTGCACCGTCGGTCCCGATGCGGGTGCTAGATGGTGGTGTCCTCCTGAGGGAACTCCGTAGGACGTCGAGGGCCGAGGTGGCGGGGGGGCTCCGTAGGACGTGGAAGGGGGAGGGTGGGGGTTGGGAGGGCCGGAGGAAAGAGAGGGGGGAGGAGGAGGCAGATCGGGGGGTCCGTAAGAGGTGGGTGGGGGGCCGTGGTGGGGGTCGGAGGAGTGGGGCTTCGGGGAGAGAACGGGAGCCTCCAAGAAGTGGATTTCCGAGGAGGGCTTCGGCGGCCCGAACATGGGCAGAGGGCCCACGGACGTCGCCTGGATCACGGTGACGGAGGGCTTACCATGAGGGGCGGGGCCAGGGGGGGGAAGGTGAGGAGGGGGAGGAGGAGGAAGCATAGGAGGGCGGCTCAGCTGAGGAGGAAGAAAGGGATCGGAAGAGGAGGAAGAGAAAGAGGAGGTGGACTTGCCACCCGAAGGGGAACCGACAGGGGACTTAAAATGGGCTCTGGTGTTTTCGGGAATGGTTAGAGGAATGATATGCTCGGAAGGAGGGGCTGTGTCTGGCTGCAAGGAAAGAAAACGTGTTAGTCGACAGGCATGGCAAGAACGCTGAGTCTGATGGAGAAAAAAGACAGGTTCTCATAAGAACGGTTTACGTTGAAAGAAAAATAATAAAAAGTGTAAATATATATATTGTTATCTTGTCATTGTCACAAGTCTTGCGTCTGTTTCATCAGACAACCCGTGCTGAAAAATAAAATGTGGATTACAGTTTACAAAATACAGTGAAGGAAAAAGGTGTGCTGCCAAATTTAGATAAAGCAAAGTCGAATTAGGATTAGGTGATCTAGAGTTAACTATAGCAAAGAAAAACTACTTCGTGCCTTATTCTACTGGGAAAACATCTTCAGCCACCTTCACCAGTCTATTAAAATTGTTTATAGTTTAGCAAGCATCTTAATTTTTTAATCTAGGTCTACTGTTTGTTGCCTTACAGAAACATTTGTGTTATTGTCATGTTTGGTGTTGGTCTTTGGTATGAAGTCGGTTGAGAGGGACAGTTGAGACAAGAATTACAGTTTATGTGGAAGGACTGAGTCAGATGTTTTGACCGTGTTACGTTTGTTCAATCGATGTTTTGTTATGTTTTTGTCTTTATATTATTAGTAATTTGGCGTA